CGCGGGCAAAATAGCGACCTTCCAGGACCTTTTGAGAAGCTTTCATGCCTCTCAAAAGGTCCTGGAAAGTCGCTATTTCGCCCGTGCTGGCCCCGTGGGGGGGTGGGGGAGCATCGCAAGGGTGCTGGAAGGCTCCCTCGGACCCTTGCGACGCTCCCCCCCACGGGGCCAGTGAGGGCGAAGTCACCACCTTCGCACCATAAGACGCACGGACTTTCTACCCCCCCCTTTGGAGAGAAAAAAAGTGCGTCTTATGGTGCAAAAAATACGGTATAGTTAATTTTTAAATGAATTTCCCCCTTTCCCGAAAAGTTTTTTGAAAATGAATGAAGTAGCTAAAGTTGCAGTATGAAATAGCATTTGAAGCATGGATTGTTATTCTGCCAACATTTAGTGAAGTTACACTGACATATCTGTAAATGTAATTTTGAAATTACCATCACATAGAAGGAATGAAGATACTCAACTGAGTTATGCCATCATTATTGGGAAGGAAAACAATTGGCTGTAACTCATTCTTTGTAACAAGTTAACTTCTGAACTCTTTTAAAAAGTCATTACAACCATAATTTAATGCTTAGTGTACTTCAGGCAGTTACACGTTGGGCAAAACCCTGTTCATGTAAGGTAAAGTTATGCCAGCATAAATGTGCTGGGCACTACACCTTGTGACAAGGAACTGCATTATTCAACTGCTCAAGTGGTCACATACTCCCAATATGTGCAATTCCCCAACAGAAGTGCTTTATGGAGAGCACTTCTGCCATGGTATTGTCATAATTTACATGGGCGCAACCTTGAGTTTGCCCCTTGTAAGTGGGTAAGAGCCACCTTTCAGTTTCAACATACAGTATTTACTGAAAGTTAAATGCATCTTTTTGCACGTTCTTCACATATGTACGTGGACAAATGTAATTTTTAAAAAATCATGTCAGCTTCCTTAGGTCCCAGTTCTGAGAGAAAGACAGGATGTACATTAAATAGAGAGAGAAACCTACATTATATACTGGGAAGTATAGAGGTGCTTTTTTGTCTTCTCATTGAATTGCCTGCTAGCCCAAATTTCAAATATTGGTTGTCTCCCACTGTGCTCATTCAGTGTTTAGCTAGATCATGTACCTGTTACTATGATTAGAGTTGGGAAGAAATATGCAGTGATTTAGAGGTTTTCCCAGAAAAGTGGTTCTTTTTTATTTTTTTGGCATATTCTCTTTTATCAGCATGTGCATAATTTCAGCAGTTTATACATACGTTTATGCAGAAGACGTTTCTGGCTGTCAGCATGTTTTCAACAGTATTTGCCAGTCAGAATATATCTGACAGCTCTGGAACACCTTGGTTTAAAGGAACTGGATTTTTTCCCCTAGGATGCAATAGAAAATAAACTGGATTCAAAGGATTGGCCTTATTGTTCTCAGTGCCCTGCACCCTGGAATGGTTCAGGAGCAGTGAGGTAAGTGGTTTAATGGTGTTTCAGTAAAAATTCTTCTCCATTTATAAAGCAAATTCCTGATTTTTATTTTTACCACATATCATAAATATAAATGGCTTGATTTAGAACATTTTGATATATTCTAACTCAACAGTGCACGTCATAAGCCCAAGACTAGTCACGTGGATGAACGGAAGAGTGGATCAAAGCTGATTGTGTTTGTAATTGGAGGAATTACCTATTCTGAGATGCGCTGTGCATATGAAGCTTCTCAAGCCCACAAATCTTGTGAAGTTATTATTGGTAAGTGAAAAGTAATAGTTAGGTACAAGTATTTAAACATGGTGTTCATTCTCAGTCAGAATATGGTTCTCTTTTCACTGCTGTTTCATGATGAATTAATATACTGAATGACAAGTTCTTGGTTGTCAAAAATTTTTTTAAATAAGGTGTTCATATGAAAGGCTTTTTTGGGTCTTCCTGCTTCTGCATCACTTTTAATTTACTTACATTTCACCTTGTTATATTCTGTTGACCATTCATACAATTTATAGATCTTCTTGCTCACTTACCATGAACTTTATACTCTTCTTCAAATAATGAGGTGCCTCATCCAAAGGCTTCAATGCTTAAAATTATGAATCAACATCTGGCATAATACTGGTTACTATGCAGCATCTTGGACTACTCTGCTTTTCTCATCTGTGAAAAGCGTATTTTTCCCCTGCAATGAACAGTCCATAAAAGAATCACGGGAAAAGATCATCAGCCTGTAATTTTTTTTAGAAGACTTGGCATGTCCTTGTGCACATGCATGTCTATGTCCTTTATAAGAAACTTTTGGGAAAGAGATAGTCTAGCAGATCACACATTTGTACTTGGAAAAAACGTAGACACCATGTTGATTCTCCCGGTAGCCATGCTTTTTCTTTTATCAGGGGTAAAATAATAGAACTCTTATTTGACAGGATGTTAGGCTGGCACTGCCCCACCCTTGGATATAAACTGATACCAATCTCCTCCATTCTTCCTCAGTCTGGTTGTTGTGGGTTTTTCGGGCTCTTTGGCCATGTTCTGAAGGTTGTCCTTCCTGACATTTCGCCAGACTCTGTGGCCGGCATCTTCAGAGGACAGCACTCAGTCCTCTGAAGATGCCGACCACAGAGACTGGCGAAACGTCAGGAAGAACAAGCTTCAGAACACGGCCAAAGAGCCCGAAAAACTCACAACAACCATTAGATCCCGGCTGTGAAAGCCTTTGTGAATACTTCTTCAGTCTCTTTCCCCTTCTGTAACCATATATTTTATACATGTATTTTTATATTTGAGTAAAAAAATAAGCACTGTAATATACATGTCTGCTAACAAACTGATATGGTTTCTAAGCTTAACCCTTGCTGCGGCAGTTGAATTTTAGCTACTGTTGCTGAAGCATATTATCTGGGAAAGTAGTTATAGGTACTGTTGACAATGTTGCTTAGGAAGTGCCACATACGTAGCTGTGCCCTCTGTAGCATTGTGATTGCCCCCCATCCCCCCTCCATCACGACATGACAAGTGTTTGCAGGAACAAGCTCTTTTATTGGAGCAATACAAACTCTTAAAGAGCCAATTGGCTAAACAATAAACTTATAAACTTTTTGGATGCCAGGGAGTTAACTGCACCCTCAGTCTACACCAATGCGAGTCTCTAACAGTAATTTACAGCAGTGGTCCCCAACCTTTTTAACACAGCGGACCAGTTGGGGAAGGTGGGGCACCCCCATGCTCATGTGCATATGCGAAGGGGGCGCTGTCGCGTGCATGCGCAAAGGCAGGGGGGCGCTCCGGCACGTACGCACTTCTGTGCATGCACAAAGAGGCTGCAGGGGGAGTGCGTGCAGGGGGGGGAGATCCATCTCGGGTCCGGCCCAGGCTGGCACTGGGCCATGGACCAGTGGTTGGGGACCCCTGATTTACAGGAGCAGAACTCTGCCCCTTCTACCAGTTTCAGAACTCCTTGCAGATGGGCCAAACATGGAGTACCACAACAAAAGTGCTGGGTGCAACCACTCACCTGTCCCTAGAGTTGTGTGGCCTGGGCTCCTTCTCCAGCTACTCCTCTATAATCACTGCTAGTGGTGGCTGCTCCATAGGTGTGGTACTTTTCCTTGGCAGCATGGCCAAAATCTATGCAGACATGGCTGGGTCACCAGAGTAGCGAAGTGCAGAGGGGGGTGAGGTCCACTGCTGCTTCAGCAGCCTTCTTGCATCGCCTTGCCTTGCCTTGGCATACCTGTGCTGCTTCCTCAGGCAGGACCAGGAGCTCTTCCCAATGCCCTGTGTCAGGATCCCAGAGACAGATAGTCTCCCAGCTGTCCGTCGAGCACTCCGGTAACCCAGCACCTCCTGGGCTTCGAATGTCTCCCAGTCGATGGCGTCTGCCAACAGTCCACCTCACTCTCCTCCTTAAATCCCTAGGCTGCCATGGCTCCATGTGTGGCCTCTGAGGTGTCAGCATCTGTGCTGCCAATGTCCTAGTCCACAGGTGAACTGTGGGTTGGGAATCTCTCCCTACTCACAAGGAGGTGGAAATCCCACTCTTGCCAGCAGAAGGATCAGGGCTGGTCCCACAAATATTAATAGTTTGTTGAATGGGTTTAAATAAAAAAGGGGCAAACATTTATTATGCAGTCCTTTATTTCTATGCATTATCCCAAAAGTACTGGGACATGGGACATATGCTCACTGAACTTTTTTTTTAAATAGGATTTTGATCTAGTGGAGAACAGAGCATTGTGTTTTTTTGTGAATTTAAAAATATTGTTTCGCAAAACAATTGTGTGCCTCCATGTATTGTTATCCTTAAATTTTGTAGACTAATGTTAAAGATCACCATTCATAAGATTACATTTTTGTTTTTAAAACAGGCTCTACTCACATTGTGACACCTAGAAGACTACTGGATGACATGAAAGCACTTACTGTAGCAAAATCAAAGGACACTGTATATTTTAAGAATGAATAGAAATTGTAGTGTTCTGAGATTTTCAGTTGTTCCTGAAGATACTAAGAATGCTAATGTAGATCTTAAGGACACAGTCTAGCCCAAATTAAGCATGTTAAGTTCCATTAATTTCAGTGGAAGAAACAAAGGTATCTATAGAACTTTTTCATTGAAATCAATGGGGCTTAAGAATTTGGCCTGAACTAGATTGTACCCTATGTATATATTTTATAAATCAGTGCTATATTTGGGACTGTTCTTTTTATAATTTGAAATCTGCTGCTTTTCCTTGGGTTGGGGGGAAAGGGGAAGATAATCTATAAGAGGACAGATGTGTGTAAGAGTGTTTTAATATTAACGTAATTGGTTAGAGATAGCATTTTGCTGTGAAATGTTTGATGTAGAGAATGCTCACCCCTGCAACACTCTAGGCTAGGACTTGGGATACATGTTTGTACATATGCGAATGCGTTTTCAATAATAGTGTGTCAACTTTCTATCCTGGAAACATGTTTATTTCTAAAGATGCTATTATAAAAGGGCCATGAAATATTGAAGAGGGAAAGTTGTAAATATAAATGTATAGCACAGTTTCATAGCTGCAGTACGTTGAGCTACAACTTAATGCAACATGTAAAAAGTCATTGCAGTTGACTTGCAGTAAGGTGCAGAATGTAAGGCAAAAATTCCTGAGACACTGGAGACAAAAATATTAGCTATGTGTTTGGAACTGCATGGATATTTCTATGGTATTTGGGTCAGGTTAATCATGGCAGCAGTAAACATTTTACCATCAATAAAGAACATTGAAGAATGAGTCTTGACCACTTGTTTTGACTGCTTTTGCCAGAGCTCTAAAAGAGAATGCATTGCTGGGCAACTCGTTTTTTTCCTCCATCCACATGCAGAACTAAGTGCCACACTGGGCTCTTTCAATCATATTTCTTTTCTTGCTTGACTGCCATTGGTATGAGAATGTTGAGAAGCATAAACATGTGATAATATTCTCAGCTTTATCCTTCTCTTTATCCATAAACGTATTAAAATCACCTGCCATTATTTCAACCCTTTTCCTTATCTCTTCCAGTTCTTTAAACATTTCCTTAAAGAAATTAACTTTGACCTTCATTTTCCACAAGCTTTTTTTTGTAAATTTCAGACCAATTTAGTTTGACTTCACAAACACCTCTTGCTTGATGAGTTTCTTGTAAAAAGTATTAAGAATATTATTATGGTTTTGAATGGTAAGGAAGATTGTTTGGAGAGCTATTTGGAGAATGATGAAAGGACATGAAAAGGGATACACGTTCTCCTCCATCCATAAGAGTTACTCTAATAGATTACAGTACAGTATATAGTCATATCTAATAGTTTGATCTCACAAGTAGTTAAAACTGAGGTTGGATTAATACAAGTACAATTCATACTTAACTAAATATGGATATTAAAATCAAACGTGATTATAGAGAAGCTAGAAGATGGAGGTTAGATACTACTATTTTTCAGCAAAAGAAAATAATAGATAAAATGGAAAACAAAACTATGGAAATATGAGAAATTAATGACAGGGAAGGTTGCAGCCAGGGTATTATATGGGACACTAATTAGTGATGAGAGGAATCTGTATCAGGGAATCATACTCTTCAGAGAGAAAGAGAAAAACACATTAAAAAAGGTTGAAAATAAAATATGGTTGTTGGAAAGAAAATATATGACGAGGACAAAAATTTATATGAGAAATAATGGCAAAAAAAGTGGGAGAATATTGAAATGGAGACAATTCAGAGAAATTTAATATATTTGAAAAGATATTATTTCAAATTTAGTAATAAAAATTCAAGAACATTGGCCAGAACCCCACAAGTAGAAAAATTCAAGAACCTTAATGGAGTAGTTATAAACCATAGAGGTACTGTTATCAGTTTGGTAACCATTGTATCCTGGAAACATATTTGTTTCTAAAGGTGCTATGATAAAAAGGCCATTAAGTATATATTTGAAATCTATTATCCCTTTAAAAATCTTTTAAAGGAGTAATAGAACAATTATATTTAGAGAATACCACAGCAGTATTGATAAATGATGGGATAACAGAAGAGATCTAGGCTGAGGTACCAGAAAAGGATGCCCCTTTCCCCCAGTATTGTTCATTTTAGTTATAGAACTCCTAATGAATGTTCTTAAAGAGAAGATAGATTTTAGGTACTGACATTAAAAATAGAGTTAAAATTAGTTTATTTGTTAATGATACTTTATTAATAGTAGAAAAACCTTTAAAGGTTATGGAAAGGGTAAAACTGTCTCTAAAATAATTTGGAGAGAGAACCGGGTTACACTTACATTGGCATAAATTGGAGATAATTGTGTTTAACCAATAGAGAAAGAAAAATTAGAAAAGAAATGGATATTAATACAGTGGTGCCTCGCTTAACGAGCGCACCGTATAACGATTAAATCGCATAGCGATCCTTTTTTCGGATCGCTAATGCGATCGCACAACGTTTTTCCCATAGGGAAAAATTCGCTTTGCGAAGACCGGTAAGCGTTTCGCTTACCGTACTACTTTATACTATTCCTGCTACAAATAGTCCTGCTACTCTAGAAAGATTGGAATAGGAGAATTTTAAAATACTGAAATATCGTATTTGCCGGCCTATAAGATGACTTTTTTGCCCTGAAAAACATGCCTCCAAGTGGGGGTGGGGGTGTCGTCTTATATACCGGGTGCACTTCCAGCAAACCCTCGCTCTCTCCCAGCAAAGTCACTTACCTGGTAGTAAGACTGAGTAGACCGAGCCCCGCTCCTCCTTGGTAGCCTCTGAAAAGCCAGAATCCAGCACTGAACAGCTGACCATCAGGAAGCAGCAGAGAGGCGGCAGCCATTTTGAGATCCGACCACATGGCTGCTGCCTCTCAAAATGGCTTCCGCCTCTCCAAAATGGCTGCCGCCTCTCTGCTGGTTCCCGACAGTCAGCTGCTCGGTGCCGATGCTGTCCTTCCAGCAAACCCTCGCTCTCTCCCAGCAAAAGGAACCAAAAGCGGCAAAACGAACTCTCCCCATGATGCAACAAAAGCAGAACCACGCATGCGGAAGAGGGGGTAGTCTTATATGGCGAGTATATAACAAACTACATTTTGAGTGTAAATGTTGGGAGTCGTCTTATACGCCAGCAAATACGGTAAGTAATTTTAAAAAAGTTTGATGACTTAAGGAAAATTTGATTGTCATGGTTTGGCAGAATCTCATTGTGCAGAGTTAAGAAACTATCCAAGATAAATTTTTTGTTTATGATAAAGATAAGCAGAGTTAAAGGACTGACAAATCATGATTAACAAATTTTGTAATGGAGATAAAAAGTTAAGGCTGTGCTACATATCCAACCAAGTAAATCATACACCAGATATTATATCTCAGTCAAATAAACTAATCCGGTTGAATATGGAAACAGACAAATTGCATTTGAACAATGTAAATATTCTTTTCATTCAGGATAATAATATAGAAAATATATTCTTTTAAAACATGTTTCTAATTTGGAATAAATATAAATAAATAAATATAGCAAAATATTTATCCCACCAGTTTCTCCACTGCATCCAATGACAATTGGAGAAATTCCTAAGGACCTAAAAGGATTGATGGAGAACTTGCTACAAAAGAGAAAAGTTATCCTAGCTGCCTAGGCGGGATATAAATAAAATAAAATAAATAAATAAATAAATTATTAGAATGAAAGATTGGTTAGAAAAAATAAAGAATAAAGATCATATAAAAGGACAGGCATATTTAACCTATATGCAGAATCCATCATGTGAAAGGCAGGACTAGATAAATCCCAAGCTGGAATGAAGATTGCTGGAAGAAATATCAACAACCTCCGATATGCAGATGATACCACTCTGATGGCTGAAAGTGAGGAGGAATTAAAGGACCCCTTAATGAGGGTGAAAGGAGATCGTAAAAAATGATCTGAAGCTCAACATAAAAAACAAACGACTAAGATCATGGTCACTAGTCCCATTGCCTCCTGGCAAATAGAAGGAGAAGATATGGAAGCAGTGATAGATTTTACTTTCTTGGGTTCCATAATCACTGCAGATGGTGACAGCAGCCATGAAATTAAAAGA